ACTAAAAGGATTGCTCTAATAAGATTATATAACCCTTGTAAATTTATATGCATCCAATATAGGAGCACCTAAATATGTAAAGAAAATCTTAGTGGACATTAAGGGCAAGATTGACAGCAATACAGTTGTTGTAGGTGATTTTGACAACAATTTTAATCTACAGCAATGGATATATCTTTCAGACAAAAAAGTCAACAAGGTGCCTGGTCATTGTGGCTCAATTGGTTGAGTGTCTTCCCATGCACCAAGAGGTCACCAGGTCAATTCCCAGTTAGAGTACATGTCCAGGTAGTGGGTTCAATCCCTGGTAGGGGGTGTGCAGAAGACAGCTGATCAATGTTTCTCTCTCATAAATGTTTCTATCTCTCACTCCCTCTCCTTCTCCCTTCCTTTCTATATAAAAAATCAATGAAAACATATTTTTAAAAAATCAACAAGGTAACAGTGACCTTAAACTGTCACCACAGAAATACAAAGGATTGTAAGAAAATATTATGAACAACTATATACCAATAAATTGGAAACCTGGATGAAATGGATAAATTTCTAGAAACATACAATCTTCCAAAACTGATTCAGAAAGAACCAGAAAATCTGAATAGACCAATTACAACTAGTGAAATTAAAGCAGTAATAAAAAAGAACTCCCAGCAAGCCAAAGTCCTGGACTGGATGGCTTCACAGGTAAATATTACCAGACATTCAGAGAAGAACTAACACTTATCCTTCTCAAACTATTCCAAAAAATTCAAGAGTAAGGAAGACTCTCAAGCTCTTTTCATGAGGCCAGCATCACCCTAATTTTAAAACCAGATAAAGACATAACAAGAGAGAAAATTAAAAGCCAATATCCCTGGTGAACGTAGATGCTAAAATCCTCAACAAAATATTAGCAAATAGGATCCAGCATACATTGAAAAGATCATACACTATGATCAAGTGGAATTTATTCCAAGAAGCAAAGCTGGTACAATATTCACAAATTAATAAATGTGATACATCACATTAACAAAATAAAAAATAAAAATCACATGTGCATATCAAGAGATGCACAAAAAAGCATTCAACAAAATCCAGCACCCATTTTTGATAAAAACTCTCAGCAAAATGGGTATAGAGGGATCATACTTCAAAACAAAAAAGGCTATATATGACAAACCCACAGCCATCATTATACTCAATGGGAAAAAACTACAAGCACTTCCCACAAGATCAGGAACAAGACAGGGATGTCTGCTTATTCAACATACTACTGAAAGAATTAGCTATAGGGGTCAGACAAGAAGAAGAAATAAACAGCATCCAAATTGGAAAGGAGTAAGTAAAACTGTCATTATTTGCAGATGGCATGATATTGTATATATAAAACCCTAAAGACTCCACCAAAAAACTACTACATCTAATAAATAAATTCAGTAAAGCAGCAGAATAAAAATTAATATTCAGAAATTGGTGGCATAGATGAACTATCAGAAAGAGAAATTAAGAAAACAATCCTATATATTATTTCAACAACAAAAAAATACAGTATCTAGGAATAAATTTATCCAAGAAGATAAAAGCCCTGTACTCAAAAAATTATAAGACACAGAAGAAAGAAACTGAGGGAGCTACAAATAAGTGAAAGCATATACTATATTCATGGATAGGAAAAATTAACATGATTAAAATGTCCATACTACCCAAAGCAATCTACAGGTTCAAAGCAATTCTTATTAAAACAACAATGACACATCTCACAGTTCTAGAACAAATGTTCCAAAAATGTATATGGAACCACAAAAGACCCTGAATAGCCTCAGCAATCTTGCAAAAGAACAAAATTGGAGGTATCATACTATCTGATATCAAATTATACTGCAGGACCATAGCAATCAGAACAGCATGGTATTGGCACAAGAATAGGCATATAAATTAATGGAAGAGAATAGAGATCACAGAAGTAAACCTGTGCCTTTATAGTCAATTAATATTTAACAAAAAAGGCAAGAACATACAATGGGGTAAATATAGTCTCTTCAATAAATGGTGCTGAAAAAAATTGGACAGATATATACAAAAATAAATAAAACTAGACCACCTCAAACACAAAATAAGCTCAATGTGGATTAAAGACTTAAATGTAAGTCATGAAACCATAAAAATCCTAGGAAAAAACATAAGCAAAGCAGTGTGAAGAGGCAAAGACAACCTCCGGACTGACCAAAGCTCCCACACTGCTGCATCCCCGCGTCCTGCCCATACATCCCACCACCATCGCCATCATACAAGAGGAAGGCAGAAGGGGATGCTAAAGGAGATAAAGCCAAGATGAAGGATGAACCACAGAGAAGACCTGCTCCTCCAAAGACAGAGCCCAAGCCAAAAAGACCCTTGCAAAGAAGGTATCTAAAGGGAAAAGGGGGAAAGCTGATGCTGGCAAGGATGGGAACAGCCCTGCAGAGAATGGAGATGACAAACAGAGCAGGCACAGAAAGCTGAAGGTGCTGGAGATGCCAAATGTGTGTGTTTTTTAGAACTGTGGATTTCTGGTGACTGTACAGTTTGAAATACTACTTTTTTTTTTACCAAGTGTTATGAAAAATGCAGACTTTTGTTTTGCTTATTTTTTTTTAAGCTATGTTGTTAGCACACAGAACACTTCATTGTTTTTTGGGGGAAGGACATATAATACTAATAAAGTATCCCCAAAGCTGGACTGATGTGGAAAAAAAGGACCTTTCCCATCTAGTTTTGAGAGACTTCCTCTTGGTTCCTGGGAGGAGGGATCCCTTGATGTTGACCCACATTAGCCACCTTGGCACAAACACCTTGAAGTGTGAGAATACTAAAATTTGTTTCTATGTCCTTTTCTCCCTCTCCACTTTAAGCATAGACTTGACTCCCTTAAACCCAGAAACCTGTTGGGACCTGTATGTTGGTTTCCAGTATGTTGGGCAATCTGGACTTTTCAGAGTCACCATTGAGATGGCATCCCTCAAAAGAGCAGCAGTTTCTCTTTTAGATTGTGGATGTACAGAATGATAATTCTGCCATTTTCATTTTATTTTCTGAAAGTCAGGGTTGACATGTGAAAAGTTGTTAAAGAGCATGCTTAATGTAGAATGTCAAACCTCACTCTAAACTTTCTCTGTTCAGAGCATCTGATGAAGACTTCATTGGGTTTTGGTGTTCTGATTTTGGAAGCCCATTGAAGAAGGGAGTTTGAAAGTTGTATACTGTTAATGTGAGTGTCCTGTCTGAAATACCATGATTGTTTATGAAAAATATATTTAATAAAGTTGGGTACAGTTTAAAAAAAAAACATAAGCAGTAAAATCTCAGACATCTCGTGTAGCAATATTTTTGTCAACATATCTCCTCAGGCAAGAAAAACAAAGGAACAACTAAACAAATGGAGTTACATTAAACTAAAATGCTTTTGCACAGAAAAAAAAAAAAAATCAATGGAACCCACTGAATGAGAGAACATATTTGACAGTGATACATCTGATAAGAAATTAATTTCCAAAATATATAAAGAACTTATACAAAATCAACACCAAGAAGACAACTCAATTAAGAAATGGGCAAAGGGTCTGAACAAACGCTTCTCCAAAGAGGACATACAGATGACCAACAGACATGAAAAAATGCTCAACGTCAGAGAGATACAAATTAAACAACATGAGCTATCTATTACCTCACACCTGTCAGAATGGCTATTATCAATAAATAAACAAGTGCTGGCAAAGATGTGAAGAAAAGGGAACCCTCATGCACTGTTTGTGGGAATGCAGACTGGTACAGCCACTGTGGAAAACAGTATGGAGTTTCCTCAAAAAATTAAAAATGTAACTGCCTTTTGACCCAGTGATTCCACTTTTGGGAACATATATATAAAAAACAAACTAACTAACTAACTAAAACACGAATTCAAAAGAATATATGCACCTCTATGTTCCTTGCAGTGTTATTTACAATAGCCAAGATCTGGAAACAGCCCAAGTGCCCATCAGTAGATGAGTGGATAAAAAAAGCTGTGGTACATTTACACAATGTAATAATACACGGCCCTAAAAATGAAGGAAATCTTTTACCTTTTGAGACAGCATGGATGGACCTAGAGATTATTATGCTAAGTAAAATAAGCCAGTCAGAGAAAGACAAATACCATATGATCTCACTTATAGATGGAATCTAATGAACAAAGTAAAGTGACAAACAAAATAGACACAAAGGCATGAATACATGGCACAGACTGACAGCTGTGAGAGGGAAGGAGTGTTGGGGACCTGAATAAAAGAAGGTGAAAAGATTAAGAAAAAAACATAAATATATAACTACATAGACACAGACAATAGCGTGGTGATAGACAGAGGGAAAGGGGGTGTAGCAGTAGGTGGAGGTGGGCAAAGGGAGGATAAATGGGGACAGAAAGAGACTTTGAGCAATGGGCTCCCGATGCAGTGTGCAGATGAGGTTTTGTACACTAGAAACCTGTATGGTTTTGTGAACAAATGTCACCCCAATAAATTAAATTAAAAAAAAAAAAATTTAAGAGAATGGTTTTCAATGAAAATGTTACACTTATAAATTTAATTTCTTAATAGTAATATATGTATCTTCTTCTTAGGATAGAAATGCACTGCTAATAAAGCTAAGTGTAACAGAAAGACTTAAGTTTTTCATATGAAACATCTATTCCGTTATTTCAATACTAACTAATCACCCAGACTTTGAAAGAAAAGGTGACCAGTGATGTATTGTGCAGGCCTACAATTAACGTTCTTTGACCCCGTTTTTGAAATAGCCTCTCAGTTTATTTCCCTTTGAAAAGAGGATACCCTCCCTCCATGGAAAAGTCAAAAATTCAAAGGCAAAATGCAAAACACTTGAATAACACTCCAGTGTTTTGTCTAGCTTGTCTAGCTTATAACGCACCGTATGCACTGTAATATTTTATGTATGTGTCCTAAGACTGCATTTCCCCAGAACTATCACTCTCCTTTTTTACCTACTTCCATCTTAATGTCGTAGTTCTGGCCGAGGACACTCTGTATGAGCTCTTTGATAGTCTGGTCAGAGGCCAGCTGGGCCTCAGACTGCAGCGAGGCAATGATCTCCTCTATGGACTTCGGGATCACCCTCACGGGCAGCGGGGCCTGCAGGGCGGCCTCCAGCCCGTTGCTCGGCTGGACACTATCCACGTCTGTTTTGGAAAAGGATCTACTGGAGCCCTCGCGCATGTAGTGGGTGAGAATCCTCACTCTCCTCCGCTGGATGGCCGCCTCGGAGTCGTCCTCCTGGCTGGAAATGGAGCTGCTCGTCCTCCTCTCTGCCGCGGGGTCCTCAGCGGGCAGAGCTGGCTGCTGCCTGGCGTCGGGCTCCTGCACCGGGTCGAGGGCGGGCTTGGCATTTGAGGGCCGCGGGCTTCTCCAGACCCGGCGCTCCGCGGGCTTCCTCCTTGGGGAAGACGGTGGCACCAGGACCACCGGTCGGGACGTGCCGGCTTTGGAGGCGATGACCTGCGGCAGTTTCGGGGGCCGGTGCCGGAGAAACGCGGAGCTTCGCAAGTAAAATTCCTGGGGGCGAAACGGCTGAGTCTTCCAGGGAGCGGCCCCCTCGCTTGGGCCCCGGGGGCGCAGGGCACCTCCAAGCGCTTGCTGCCGGGCCGCAGTGGGGGGCGCAGGGCCTTTAGCCCGAGGGAACCCTGATGGCTTCTGGGGTCCAGCGCAGGAAACGCCCCTTTTCCCCTGAGACCAGGCCGGGCCAGGGGCCTGGAGGCTACAGACAGGGACTTCATCTACAGCCGGCTTCGAGGCCAACTTCTGCTTGAATTGGAGAAAATCCTTTTTGGTCTCCCTTCGAATTTTCTCAAGCTCTTTAAAGATGTACGATTCTTCTCTGTAGCTCAGTCCAAAGTGCTTCGAAGTAGTGGACATCTTGACTCATTTGTCCTGTGAAATAACAATACATTAACATATAACACAAAAGTTCTGTTGACAAAATTACAACTCAAAAAAGTAATCATAATAGAACACTCACGGTGCTCCCTGAGAGTGGACAGTAGTAGTTTATATTATTTTAAAATCAACTATTGACCTTCTCACAGGAACCATGAAAAACATTTAAAGCTTTTTGTAAAGGCTTTTTTTTTTTTTTTTTTTTTTTTTTACAGTGGGCGTTTCTGAAATCCCTATTGGATTTATTGTAACATTTCCTTAGACTGTAATGCAGTGTTCCACTTTCATAGTACACATGGGCACGAAAATTTCGAGTAATCCTGGCAGGATAGCACTTTCCACTTCCTTTTCTGGCTGGTGCTCCATGTCTCCATCCCTTACCCAGCCCATTTCCCTCAGTGTGTCACCTGAGCTATAGCAGCCACGAGGTAGGCTGCAGTGAAGTCATGAGGTCTTGTAGGCCAAGTGTTTGAACTTTTACTGTGGACTACTAGAAACCATTCAAAAACTTTTATTTATTTTTTTATTTTCATTTAATCAATTTATTTTTGTTACAGATGTTTCTCCAAACTTTTAAATAGAAAAGTGGTTTGATAGGATCTAGTGCTTGAGGGATAATAATTTTGAGTGGGAGAAACAATAAAGGGAGAGGAGGCAATAAGAGTATCCACAGTTTGTGTTAGGTCTGGCCTTGGTAACCTAGCAGAGTGAAAATGGAAACCTAACAAGGTAAAACTGATAGGATCTGGCCAATGACTAGGAATAAATGGGAGCAATTAAAGCTCCTTCATAAAATAGGAACTTTGAATCACCTTCATAAAGTCTTGGTCATAACCAAGTGCATAATAAAGTTTCTGCTATTCACTGAACTGTGCACATAAAGAATGGTTAAATGGACCCTGGCTGGTTTGGCTCAGTGGCAGAGTGTTGGCCCACAGACCAATGAGTTGCGGGTTCGATTCTGGCCAAGGGCACGTACCTCAGCTTCAGTTCATCCCCAGCCCTGGTCGGGGTCTTGAGAGAGGCAACCAGTTGATGTGTCCCTCTCACATGGATGTTTCTCTCTCTCTCCCTCCCACTCTATCTGAAGATTAATAGAAAAAATATATACCCTCAGGTGAGGATTAAAAAAATAATAATAATTTTAAAAAATGGTTAAGATGGTAAATTTTATGTTATGTGTATTACCACAATTGGAAGAAGAAAAGAAAAAATTTCTGCTATTCGCAGGGCAAGTTATCTATGATCATAAGTGACTTCTGAGATCTTAGGAGCTCTGAAGTCACTACCAAAAACCAAGACAGAAAATATAAATAGACAAGGGCCAATGACAGATTGCTTGGCACTAACACCTGCATCAGGTAGGATGAGCAAAAGCGAAAAAGAGTTAGGAAAATGGAGAGAATAGAGTTCCACAGAAGCCAAGAAGTGAAGAGTTTCAAGAATAAGGGTAAAACAATAAAAATAAAAGCAGAAAATAATGATTTAAAAAAAACTATATTTTAGAAAGCCCAAGGCCAAGTTTCTTTAAAAATAAAATAATAAAGCAGAAAACATCTCTGGAATATCATCATTATTTCCAAATATGATTATCTACCTACAAAACCTAAGCACTAAAAACTAATTAGAATTATAATAGAGTTCTGCAAGGCATTTACATTTTTTTTAAATTATACAAAAATCAATAACTTATTTTATATCAAAATGATCCATTCAAAAGCAAAATGATAAAATTCCATTATATAAAATTTATAATTTATTTAAAAGAGTAAGCATCTATGAATAATGTAACAAAAAATGTCCTAAAACTGCATGAATCAAATTTTTTAATTTTACTGAAGGACATAAAAGAGACTCGACTAAATAAAGAGACAGTTAATGTTCCTTGGTGAGAAGACCACATATTGTAATTATATCAGATCTTCCCAAAATACTGTATTGGTTTAATGCCATCATAATCAAAATCTAAAAATGATATTTTGAACTTTGAAAAGTAATTCTAAATTCACTTGAAATAACCAACAGGGCAGATTAGCCAAATTTTGAAAAGGGAAATGAGGAAGCACTTGTCCAGCAAGATAATTAAAACTTACACAGATACAAGAATTAAAACTGATATGCTGCTGCTAGAATCAACATATAGACTGAGTGAGCAGAAAAATTAAGAATAATGTGGCTAATGTTATAAAGATAGTATTAAATTGCTGATAGAAGAATTATTAATAAACTGTGCTAAGGCAAATGGCTGACTATAGTATGGGGGTAGGGACGGGAATTACATTTCATTTTATGGCATGTTTCAAAATACCATGGATTTAAAACTTAGATGTGGAAAATATGGTCTTATTTTACTTGGCATTTCTTTGCTTAGTAGCTATCCACATTTCATGGTTGAATTTCTTTATATCAATTCCTAAAAGAAGTATTTTTCCAATTAGATTTCTTCATTTTTCATGTAGTATGTGAAATATGAAGAAAACATTCTATTTATTAGCCTCTAAATGTAGTGATATTACTTTTAATCTCCAAAATATCCATGGCTGGTTCTCAAATCCCAGACTCTCCTACATTCAAAGCTCTCACATGGTAACCAGTAGGCTTTCTTTCTCTACGTGGCTTCTCCACTGACCAGACCTTAGACAGTCCAATTTATCTGTAACAAGATTTTATATTAAAAAGTGAAAATAATAATCTTTTGCTTCTTTTCCAGGCCATAGTATATGAACAATATAAATGATTTCTAGAGGCCTTAAGGAAGTTTTCTTATTTAAAAAGCTGTATAATCCCCCTCGTAGTGTTTTGGCTGTTATTGTTTGCACAGGTGGTAATATGCTCATACTGACACCACCTGCGTTTCTTCCTACAAAAGACTAAAAGGTAGTACCTGGAATACAACACAGACCAGAAACACATTAACAGCTGATGAGAATTTGACTGACTCTCCCAACTGCACTTCCTTTTTGTTTCTTAGTTCCTGCTTTGTATTCTCTTCCCACCTTCTCCCAGGCTTGTGGTTTGCTATTGAAGTTTAACAAGTGATCATTGTTCAACATTTCTCAGTACATTCTCTTGAGTTCTTCATAGGAAAGTTGCTCTTTATATGCAAAATTACACCAATGGGAAATAGAACTTCTAAGTTTGATAGGAATTTCTATTATGTTTTCAAAGTAAATGGTATCCCAATGTTAAATGGGCAAGACCATCAAACGGTGCCATTTTAAACCCCACCTACCCCTCAACTCTGTAAAACATGTAAAATTATTTTTAAACATCCAATCTCATGGAAAAATAACATGCTATTTTTTTTTTCTTACTAAAAAGAAACAGACTAGATCAGGTTTGGATAAACAGAAAAATAATGGAGCCATTCTGAAAAGAGAAAGTACTAGTTTATATAAGGTATCAAGCCTGCTGCTCACAATCCAAGTTGATTAAGTTTATACTTTAAAATGGGACAGAGTGTGCTTGAAATCTTTGCAACCTGAGCAGTAATTTCACTCTCTTTTTTCTTAATTATTGGAATTCTGTGCCTCTCCTTCTTGCTCTGCCAAGAGGTTCAATGCCTGAGCAGTAAGGTAAACAGAAAGGCCAAGAGCCAGCCTTCTCTCCTGTCCCACAATGTCTGGTAGATGTGAGGAGGAAACTCACTGCCAAAATTGGCTAAAGGTCCAGGGCGGGCTACCTGTGTGAATGCTCTAGATTCTGGAACAGGTTGCTCTCTGGTTCTTGCAGGTATGGCTTGTCCTCTTATTAGAACAGAAGATCCAAAAACTCTACTCTAGACTCTAACTAAGGTAGAAATAGAGCAGACCACCAGATGACTTGGTGACAAGCTACATGAACACTTCACACAGGAAAATGAGTCCTTCATACGTTAAGCCTACTTTACAGAGTAATACATGGGAAAAGAATTATCAGAGTCATACATTGGGAATAATGCCAAAGTCTCAGCTGGTTATATGGATTACTTCACCTTAACCTCCTCCACTATATGGTCACAGGCACCTCAGTGGGAAAGGTGACCCACTAAGGACAAGATTTGGGTTCTCTTGGATTCATGGCCAAATATTATCTCAATTCACTTCAAAACTTCACACCAACATCAACTTCCAATGCACAGCACTAAAGTTCCAAGAGAAACATTTAAGCCCAAGGACAGTCTAGCTCATCTAGTAAAATTGTTAACATTGCAAGAAAAATAAAAATATTCTGAAAACAATATTTGCTTTTCAAAAATCAGTAGTAGAAACAAGATCTCTTTGTGCAGTGATTATAATTTATGAAAAAGTCTAAAAGGGAATATACAAATATTTTAACAATTTTGCTAAGAAAATGAGATAATAAAGTTTTCTATTTTTCCACACTTTCTATAATACTGGTTTTGCCACCTTTAATCCTAATAATATCAATAATACTAATAGTAAGTAACACATACTGTGCTGGTTTAAAATAATATTAGAAAATAGAGAAAAGCTGTTTTCAATCTCAGAAAAGAACTTTTTCTAAACTAGTCAGATGCCCACAGAAATTTCAATAAAAGCCCTTTCTCATTTTGGCCAGAAGAATCAGAGAAAAGCTCCCAGGCAACAACCACCATGGAAGAGTGAGAGAGAAATCCTAGAAGAGAAAGAGCCAGAGAAAGTAATTTTCCAACTTTATGTTTAAACACCACACAAGTCTAGACTGAACTCTGAACAGTGCATATGTGGAACAAACTCAAAGCAACACAGCAAAGGCTTAAAAAGCTGAAATGAGATTTGACTAAACATAACCTCCAACCACAGAGAGTAAGATAGAGTTTACGGTGACTCTAACCTGGTAAATTGCCTGTTAAACAAACTACAAAAAATCAACATTCTTCAGAGAGATATAAGATAACCCAGAGCCTACATAACAAAACATTCACAATGTCCAGGATATAAACAAAAAATACTTGACATAAAAAGATCTAGAAAAATCTGACCCATTTTCAAGGGCAAGGATAATTAATAGATATCAGTCTAGAGATGACCTAGATGTTGCAATTATTTAAAAAGACTTTAATGCAGCTATTAAAACTGTGCTCCATGAAGTAAATGAAATATGCTAAAGATGACTAAAATGATAGAAAAGACTTAACAGAAATTTTTAAAATAAAAATATTATATCTGAAAAATAATGATAGGTTCGATAAAAATTTGACTAGCAAAAGGGAGAGGTCAGAGGATAGAGTTAATGAATTAGAACACAAAATAAACAGAAATTATTTAATATTTAAAAACAAGAAAGAAAAGCTTTAAAAAAAAAAAAGGAAAGAAAAGAAAGAAAGCCCTAGAGCCCTGTAAAACAGTATCAAAAGCTTTAGCATATGGTAATCCATATCCCAA